GCAAAGGAATGCACACCAGAGCCCTAACCGACAACATAGCATGCATGTATTACAGAAATTGTAAAAGAGGAGCCAGGTCACAATCAGGGATATTAAATATCAGTTAATTGATTAGTTGAGTAGCCTCATGAATTTTTATCGGTTAGTCGACTAGTCTAGTCTCTAGGAGTGGGGCTGGCAGCCAGTATCAGAGGCAGTGTGGGGTGCCAGGTGGGAGCTGGTCTAAAAACCAGCTCCCCTTGCGGACTGGCTGCCAGTCGCCCAGTGTTGCTGCCTCTGATAAAGAGGCAACAGTGCAGGGTGGCAGCAGCCCCGGTGTAAGGTGTGTCTGAACTCCTGGACCCAGGGCAAGCTGGAACTGAACCAGGCTGCCTGCCCACCTGGCTCCCAATACACTTTAAATTCAGAGCTACAGCAGGGGTAGGTTCTAGATCTGGCATGAGTCAGAACTCAATTGGGCTGCTGGCCAGCCTGCTAAAAATTTTACTGGCAAGGGTAGGAGGAGGGAAATGAGTGTAGTTTATAGTATTAACATACAAGCTTTTGCTTTTCAGTTAACCGGTTGATCAGCTACACTATTACATCTCTAGCCACCATCCCTCTGTGCAGAACCAATAAGGCTATAGATCTGGTGCATCTCCCACATCATGACATCATTACTGCACACAGTGAGTAATTTCTTCACAGCATCATAGGGAAGGTAGATAAACATTGCTATCCCTTTGTAAAAGATGGGGAAACTGAGGGACACAACGCCACTGATCTGGTCCAAGTTGTACCATGAGCATGTGGCAGAGTTAGGAATAAAAGCCCAGCATCCTGACCCAGATATCCTGCTCTTTCCGTTAGGTGATATTTGCTTTGGTGGAAGAAAACATGAAGACAACTATGAAATGGTCTGGAGGTATATTTGAAGATTTTTAATTGGCTGTAGACACTTTCATAGCACATGTGCATGCACACACAAAATCTGTGGCCTAAAAATGAATATCTGCGCTATCTATGTGTGGATAACTAATTTCTTATCTGATTTGTAGAGACAAGAGCTTCATGGAGCTGTGACTTGTACAAATATTACCTTTATACAAATTCTACTATAAACAGACATACCGTGTATTTTCAGAAAAAGTTGGGTATTTCAAAGGTGGATATGATGGTTATCATTTTTTTTCTGATAGAAAACCTAAAACTAGACCACGATCTCTTCCTACCTCATAAGTTTCCATGACCTTTGTGGTATTTGACTCGCTCCTGAGCTTCTCAGAAACCAGAGCGACACTTTGCCATCTGTACCAGAACACCACTGTTGTGGTAGATCTGTGCTTCCTAGTATATGCAATTCCCATTAGAATGAAAAGCTCTTCCTAAGTAATTGCTTTGATCGGATGGATTGCTTGGGGGGGAGGGAAGGAGAGGAAAAGAGTGTTAAGTCAAAATACTCATTTGCAAATTTGTCATTACTCCATTATATTTGTTTTTCTGGCAGAATAAATCATTGTCTTTTGATGTTGTTGTTGTTTGGGGGGCAAGAAGGAGTTGCAAGATATCTTGTTCATTTAAATCAAAGCCTTTTTGTAGAGTTCTAGATTTTTAGCTGTTGTCCACATATTTTTTTTTTGCAGCATTCCAGTCAGCAACATCCACGATTTAGCATTTTCACTTCATTTTATTTGCAGTGTAAATAAGTGTCTTATTACAAAATTGAAGTTGTATTTGGACATATTTTGGCTGTGAATGCATCTTTTCTTTACTGCAAAATGAACCTTTTTGACTTGGAAAAATTCCCAGTTTACTTTTCCTTACAAACACTTGTCAGGGATGCTCTAGATCAGCAGTTCTCAAACTTTTTGGGCTCTGGAGCCCTTTACATGCGTAAAAATTTATGCAGAGCCCCAGCGGTCCACTGATTGTATGTGTTGTACCTATCGATGTTTCCAGTTTGTCAACCTCACAGAGCCCCTGGAGATGTCTGGGGCTCCGCAGAGCACAGTTTGAGAAACATTGCTCTAGATAATATTTAGCCCTGTCTCTGTGCAGGAGACTGAACTAGATGACCTACTGAAGTCCCTTCCAGTCCTACAATTCTAGGATTTTTTCCCTCACCCATCATTTGTCTTTAGTTTGGAAATTCGTCAGGCCAGGAACCATTTTTATTCTTGTTTGGACAGTGCTTGCAGAATGGGACTCTGGTTTCTATGTGCTACAGAAATTTAAAAAATCCCATCTTCTGATCATTAATAGATGTACTGGTTGAAGTGATATGGATTATTAAACTAAATACTACAAACCCTTGCTCATGTGAGTTGTGCCAGTGATCTCAAGGACTGGGTGTGTAAATAAAAGTTTTCCGTACCAGGGTATAAGTTTGTACTTTCTGTGCATCAATATTTATTCTGGGAATTACTTATCAGACAGCCCAATCCTATTATTATTCATTACGTGTAAATAAGCAGGCTATGACCCTCTCTTTATAATTCTCTTCATAAATATACTAAGTAAAGAATTAGAATAATCCCCACAGTCACATTCAGCAAAATTATTGTTTCTTCTGTTTTGGAATTTCAAACTATTTTAAAACAAAGCCAAAATGTTATTTCTACTAACAAGAAAGCTTTGGTGCCAGCCAGCTGGCAAATTCAGCTACAATCAAACAAGTTTAAAAGACTGCAGAACTGGGGGAAATTCCACCTTGAACATGAAGAGATTTGTACATAATGGTACGGCTGGTACACTATTTATTTGCAGTCTGACAATATAGGCAAAGTTCTTTCTCTTTTAGGAAAATTGCCTCCTATTCAGTATAATAGTTGGGATTATAAAATGGTCAATCAAAGCTACTTTAATCACTTTAGATAAATAGAATGTAGAGACAAACAGAGTTCAGTATCTTTGTTTCTTCCTGGACTGTCTCTTTTTCAGAGCCTGATCTTCAGAGAGTACTCTAAACTAAAACAAAATGATTCTGTATTAACTGTCACCAGTCATACCACTTGACAAAAAACCCAATTTAACTGCTTGGTAAGACTTTATTCAGATTACCAAAGCAACCATATTAATAATAGCTAGTCAGGTTTCTCTTGCTAGAGAAGGCGCTCTCTAAATAGCCAAAACAACTGATCTTACCAATAGTGCTTACATTACAACATGAGTATTGAGAGTCTCTGGGTTAGGCTAAAAGGGATTAAAAACAAAGGTGATGTCATGCTAGGAGTCTACTACAGGCCACCTACCCAATGTTGAGAGTCTCTGGGTTAGGCTAAAAGGGATTAAAAACAAAGGTGATGTCATGCTAGGAGTCTACTACAGGCCACCTACCCA